AAAGGATGGATCTTTTTAAAAATTTTTTTGAAATGAAATTAAAAGCCGGTTGCTGGGTCATTCATGTTATGAAAACCAAAAAATTACTTTATATGGCCCAAATAAGAAGAGATACATGCCTTGAGTTATACCATATAAAAGGTTGATATTAGGATGTAAACTCACAGATCGTAAAAGTTGAAGCTGTATAAGAATAGAAAAGGTTCAAATAAATTTATAGTTTCTTGACATATTTTTGATAGTAAAACATTAATTATACCTCTTTAACAAATTTTTCATAGTTTTCATTAATTTTTAAGCTTTTAAGGGCAACGAATAAGCCATAGCCCTTCCATTCGGCTTTCTGAATAGTTCCAAATCCTCCTTCATTAGTTTTCTCCCTATTAACAAAGTCAGAGTAATGATAAAAATTTATATGTTTTTCAGTAATAGATTTTCTAAGCCACTCCGAAGGATCCATAAGATCTTATGTAATTTTCACAAAATATATTTGATTTTTTTTTTTCTTTTTTTTTCTTTTTTTTTTTCTTTGTAGCTGTAAAAAAGAATTACATTTTCCTAAAAAGAAACGCTTCGCAGATCAACAGAACATGTAAACTGTGTTTAATTACTAAAAAAAAAATTCGTACCAATCAAACAAATACAGTAATTGCAAATACAGTAATCGCAAATCCTGTATTAACTACTTTTATTGCATACCGATACTATCGCTACGTATAAAAATCATTTATTACTATATATATGCATTTATACTACGTATCGCTACATATATTACTATATATATATATTAAGTTTTACTATCGCTACGTATTGCCAGTGTTGGACAAGTTTGGGACGAATAAAGGTTTTTTTTTTTTAAAAAAACAAAATTTTATTAAGACAGTCTTCTTTAGCTCTTATATATAAATGTTTAAAATTTATCTTATAATTTATTGTTGCTTTGATATAATTTTCCAAGCCAAAAATTGAGAATTGGAAAGGAAATAGCTCAGGGACTTTTGTTTTTACATAACAATAATATTGTTCACCGAGATTTGGTAAGTATACTTTTTTGAGGTATAATCAATTTTATATATTTAGAGAACTTAAAATTTTTATAGCATTCGAAGAATATATTAGTCCATGAACGGAAGATGATGATTGCTGATTTTGGCCTGTCACAGAATATTCATGATATACCGACATCAAACAAAAATATTCATAGTATTCATGGAATGCCTGCATATATTGATCCTCAGTGCTTTAAAAATAGTCTCTACATACGTGATAAGAAATCTGATATCTACAGCTTTGGTGTAATTCTCTGGGAAGTTTCGAGTGGTAGGGCACCATTTCAGTCATTCACGTCTCGAGAAGCAATTGTTATTCATATATTTCAAGGAAATAGGGAGATTCCAGTAAAAGATACACCAGTACAATACCTTGAACTTTACAAGAAATGTTGGCATGAAGATCCTAAAGAACGTCCAGAAATAAAACAAGTTTATACTGTTCTAAATAATATGATCTCTGAGCCTGTAAATACTACCACGAATACAGAAAATCCATCAGAGGGGTTGCTCGATAATGCTATTTCTCATCAAATTAATTATGTTCATTATAATGAATTTATTGACCCTACTGTATTTAAAGAATTTGGTTCATCATATAAATCTGAATGGGATCATGCTACAATAGTTCTTAAAACTTTGAGGATTGGAACCAATTTCGATGAAAATAATATTCGAGATTTCTTAAAACAAGTATAGTAGATAATTTCATTTGGTAATAATTGTTGGGATGATGCTGAAACTTTGACATATTTTAATATGAAATTTTAAAATTTTTGGGGACTTTTTTTTTAGCTTTTTTTTGTGGTTAGGTTTAGGGTTAATGTTTATAATAAAAAAGTATAGATGGATTTTAATAGAGTTTATATTTTTAAATTGAAACCCTAAGTTTCAGCATCATCCCGACAACAATTAACCTTTTTGCAATGCATGTATTAACAATGGAATATTATTATATGATATACGAAGTTTAAACTTTTGCAAAGAGCAAGTTTTCATCAAAATATAATTCATTTATATGGTGTAACAAAAAATAAAGGTACGATTGACAGCATTTAATTTCAAAAAACCTCTGGTATAGCAATCGATATAGCAATTTAAGCCGTTATGTTTAATATTCCGGAGGGAACTTGTAAATGAACTTGCTAGCTTATAATCAAAATAATATTTTACTCCGCATGTATTCAGACGGATACTATATGTCTGTATTGCAATATGCAAATTCTGGAAATCTTAGAGAATACTTGAAATTTTATCATACAAAATTAGAATGGAAGGATAGATTCCGTATTGCAATGGATATAACGAATGGTCTTTTATTCTTACATAATTTGGGTATTATTCATCAGGATCTCGTGAGCATATTTCATAATCTAAAATTTAGCTACATTATATTCGTTATTTTACTAATATTATTTTTATAGAATTCTACAAATATTTTTGTCCACAACGGAAAAGCAATGATTGCAGGTTTATTAAAACAAGCAACTTTTGTTGAAACATCGGCTTCCAACTCAACGGATGATAGAATGACAGAATACATTGACCCCCAATGCTTTAAAGAGCACACATACAAACGTAATCAAAAATCAGATATATATAGTTTAGGTGTCATATTTTGGGAAATCTCAAGTGGCCGAAAACCGTTTAGTTCGCATAGGTCTAAAGAAGAAATTGCTATATATATATTCAAAGGAGGTAGAGAAGAGCCTATAGCACTCACACCTCGAGAATACATCGAACTCTACAAACAATGTTGGGAAGAAGATCCTATCAAACGACCAGAAATGATGATAATCCTTAAAAAGCTCTACTATTTAAATCATCCTAACTCAATATTCTCTCATAAAGACACCAAAGACACCGAAAAATCCTTAAACAAGTCACTTGAAAAAGCTGTGTTCGAACAAAAGATTGCTTATTTTAGTTCCTTTGAGTTTAGTGAACCTACTAAAGTTACTAAGGATGTGTACAAGTCTTCATGGAAAAATTATAGAACGGTGGTTACCTGTAAATGCCTTAAAGTTAGCGATAAAATTTTGAAAGAAAGCATTATTCAAGAATTTACTCATAAGGTAATGTTTAAATTAGAAAATTGTTGGTAATGTTTATGCATATTACATTAAATATTATTCAAATCATATTCATTTAAATCGTATTCAAAGCTAGAAATTTTACAAAAAAATACTTTTCATTCAAATGTTATTAAATTCTACGGGATAACTAAAGGTATTTTTTTCATTGCTTATCGATGACAAATTTTATGTATTAATACTGAATCTTTATTTAATTAATAAGATCCAAATGGTTACTATAACATAGTTTCACAATTTATCGGTAATACAAACTTACGTGAGCATCTAAGTCATAATCTTTCATGGAATGAAAAATTAAACATGGCCCAAGAAATAGTGAAGGGAGTCGAGTTCTTGCATAATAATGACATAGCTCATTGTAGCCTTGTAAGAGTCTTTATGTTGTATTTAAAAATGGAAAAATACGTTTTTGGAGTCATGTGTATTATATCATATGATAAATAAAAATAGGGTTTTATAATTTATCGCTATAGTATCGAAAATCCCGATATTAAAATTCCGAAAATCAAAACCCGAAATTTAATTGTCACAACGCGTGATGTCGAGGTTTCAATATTCAAACTCCAATTATGATTAATAATCTATATTAATAATCATAGGCGGAGTTTGTATATCGAAGCCCCGACATCATACAACGCGACAACTAAGTCTCAGGGGTAGCGATACATCGCTATGGCAATAAAACAAAAAATCCTTAAAAATGTATTTATTTATGATCTGACGGGATATCATGCGCATGAAACCACATTTGCATATTCTAGTTGTGTTTATACATCTATCTAAATAACTTATTCATTCGATTATATAGCATTACGACAACATAATTGCATACGAGGGAAAGATGATAATTACGGGTTTTGATTCATTTGAACAAGGGAATCTGGTTTCTCAGAAAGTGCATGCATATATTGAACCTCAATATCTTAAGGATAATTCATATAAACGTGACAAGAAATCAGATATTTATAGTTTGGGAGTCATTCTTTGGGAAATATCTAGCGGTAAGTCTCCATTTTCCTCTAAGCTTGGAGGATCAGGTTCAATTTCCAAACGTATAATCAAAGGAGAAAGAGAAAATTCTATAGAAGGAACACCACAGCAATATATTCAACTCTACAAAAAATGTTGGGACGATAACCCTGCAAAACGACCAGACATAAAGTTAATTCTTGACACCTTACCAACTAATACAGTCGAGAAATAAAACTCAGGTCAATTAAAACATATAGAATAAGTTTAATGTTTTGAAAACTTGAACAATTTATAGATTTGTCCAAAATATTATAAACCGTTGTTTTCAAATATATAGACTCTCTTATAATACATATATATAAATTGGCTATTTTTCAGGCCTTAGCAATTCAACATTAAACTTAGAATCTTCAGATTATGAAAATCAGTATGTTTGAGTTATTTAAGGCAACATATTGTATAAGTAGTAAGCTATCGTATTTATGATTTAAGACTCGTCGAAACATTACAGCATATTACACAAGTAATAAGCAAGTATCATAACTTGCGACCTAAGACTCAACATTGTTAATCTATGCTAAAATTCAGAAATTATGTTTTTAATTTTTTTCTAAAATTGTTAAATAAAATAACAAAATTCTACTTTTCATTCTAATGCAAAATTATCTTCATTTTGTTTTAATCCAAAACAAATTATCCATTTTGTAATTAAATATAAAATTCATTTGTGTTATGTGCGGTATTAGTTCATATAATTTAGTTGAATACGCATATTGTGGAAGTTTTATTGATTGGACCCTCTAGAAAATCATAACCCAGGCACCCGATTGATCTGAGTGAACAATCTTTAGAATCGATTCTAAAATATGTAACCTTTTTTTATATTTCAGTGTATCTTCTAATATATATTAAATAATACAAGTTCCATAAGTGAATTCCCACTACATACTATAAATATTTAGCCTGTTGAGTAAGAGAAATCAAATACAGTAAAACCTTTATAAGTGCAGGCTTTTGGTCCCAGTGTTTCGATCCTATTTTTGACAGGCCATCCGGATTCTATTAAATCCGGATTGAATTCGCATTAGATACATAAAGCCGGCTTTTGGGCACACTCTTAGGTCCGTTATTTAAGTATTCTGACAAATCCGAATACCTGAATTTATCTAGATTTAAGGATCAATTCAAATAGTCGGATTTAAGATGAAAACACTACTTGGACAAACCTTAACAATATGCACTTAGATTTGGGAGCGTGCATTTAGAGAGGGTGTGCACTTATAGAAGGTGCACTTATAAAGGTTTTACTGTTCATGATCTTCATAAATGCACATTCTCATTGT